TCGCTGTCCCTGTTGGGCTTCTTATGCTCTGTATGTTATTGTATTCGTTTTAGTTTGTAATTGAAACACTGTGGTATTTCTGTTGTTATTCGTATTTGATCTTTCTGTGGGAACGCATTGGAGGTTGTGCCCAGTGATGAGCTTTGCCCGCCTGAATCTTTCGCCAACTTCTGATGCTCCCCTTTCTGCAATACCTGTGATGGTACATGCGCCTTTCTCCCTTCCTCTCTCTCTCTCTACCTTACTTTTTTCCATATATTATTCCGTGCTGCTTACCTTTGGCTATGATAAGTCCGGTGAGTTAGTGTAATACCTCCAATTTCTATTTTTATTTTCAATTTGGAGTGGAATAAAGAATCATAATAATAATAACCCCGTTGGGGACAGTTTAGCTTTTTGGAGCTCTTGTTGCTGACCGCCCCTGGGCTTGCCAATCGCTCCAATACTCTTTCAATTTTAGCTCCTCTCTCTCTCTCTCTCTCTCTCTCTCTTCACTGTGTAGCCCGTATTGTCTTTCCTAGTTCCCAAGTTTGTGTCCTAAGCGTATGCCACCTCGTCGACAATGGAGCAGTGTTGATAACCGAGAAGCCCTGGAGTGCCACTTCAAAGCCATCTGGCCAGATAAGCTCGGATACAGGAAACGGCAGCTTGCTAATTGGACAGAGCGGCGACCAAACGATGCTATAACTGAGCAGTGTCTTGCTGGCCAGATATCCCTTATCAGCCGAAAGTATCTCTCTCTCTGGTCGAACAAGAAGCCATTGCCCGGTAGCTTGTGGAGCGAGGGGAGCTTCCTAGCGCGTTTCTACAACGTTACCACACAACGAATCACCAGGGAGAACCAGAGCCCTGCGGGTCTAGCGCTGCTGGCCCTACTGTACTGACACTCCGCGCACTGATGACGCCCAGGCGGATCCTAAAGCCACTGTCACTACTGTCACTACTGTCACTAGTGCTGGTGCTGGTAGTGCTGTCAATTATGTACATGTGCCTCCACCCAACTCGGACAGTGAGTCAACTGTCACTGGATCAACGTGTGAACACGTTCCTGCCTTGCATGCTGATGCACTTGGGGCTGATGCACTTGGGGCTGATGCACTTGAGGCTGCAGACGGTGGATCTGGTGGTGTGTCATGCACTGCGGAGAGTCCTTGCACAGACTGCAGAGCACAGACTAATCGTAGCTTATCTGCTTGCCTAGCTAATGCATGTGGTGCTGGTATCATTGAGTCTAGTAATGACAAACAGCTCGTGTGGGCGGTCAAGCATATCTGTGTATGTATCAAGGCTGCTGAGGTGGAAGACACTGGTAGGGTCCTTGGTGGGCTGGTAGCCAGTGTACAGCGTTTGGGTGTTGATGAAAGGCTAAAGCTTGCAGTCCCCAGGAAAATCCCATACCTCCGTCTTTCAGTTACTGTCGCAAAAATCAACTGTGGTATCCGTCAGCTGGTTGCTGCTAGTGAGTTGGACCTGTCCATAGAGTTCTTGAATCATGTTGCGTATGCTGCTGCTGTTCTCACCCTACTGGTTTGTGGTATCCTGCCGGTTTCGGCAGCGCGCATGAGTTCGCTGCAGCCGGAAGTTCCGGGTTGGCAAAGCCGGTAACAGCGAAAGGTTGACGCCCTTCGGAAGGATGTCTCTAGACTGACAAGCTACCTGGCATCTGACAATCCGCAAATGTACCAGCGCTACCCTGTGAGAACTCGGCCCGGTGCTGCTTCACTTCTAGGAACAACGAAATTGGAACTTCTGGCCCTTGCGGGTCGAATGCGCAGATACAAAGCTGATATGAAACGTAAGCAGGAGAATCAGTTATTTCGCTACAATGAACGTCAATTCTATCGTAACCTGTGTGCCAAGAAGGATAGTGACCCCGAGAACCGTCCATGTATGGATCAATTGGAGCAGTTCTGAAGAGACATTTGGTCTCACCCTTACCCTGTGCGTCGTCAGGCCTGGATCCAGCGTGAAGGCACATGCGCAGAGGACATCCATGCCCAGGAATCTGCTGTCATTACTGCTGACCTTATGTCTGCTGCGACCTCCAAGATGCCACACTGGCGTGCTTCTGGTTGTGACCAGATCCCGCCATTCTGGATTAAAAAAATTACTGCTCTCCATCCACCTCTACTTGGAAATTTCCAGCTGCTTCTGGATGGTGAGCTGGATGCCCCAGCGTGGTTTTCACTGGGCCAGACGGTCATGATCCCAAAGAAAGGCGACCTAACCCAGCCGCAGAATTGGCGACCAATCACCTGTCTGCCAACCATGTACAAGCTATTCACCTCCGTGATTGGTGAGTTGATGTAGATCCATTCCAGACCAATGACATTCTGGCCCATGAACAAACTGGCTGTACTCGTAACCGAGGAGGCTGCACTGACCAGCTGCTGATCAATTCTATGATTACCCAGGATGCTAGGCGTCATCACCGCACCTTAGCAATGGCTTGGTTGGATTTTAGGAAAGCGTTCGACAGCCTATCCCAGGAGTGGCTAGTCGAAGTCACACGTCTGTACAAATTCCACCCCAAGATCACTTCGCTCTTGTCTGTGCTCTCATCGCAGTGGCGTACCCGGCTGCGCTTGGGAGCTGACATGAGTGAGGCAATACCGATCCGGCGAGGCATTTTCCAAGGTGACTCGTTATCTCCTCTGCTCTTCTGTCTTGGATTGAATCCAATATCAGGTAAACTCAGCAGAAGTAGCTTTGGATATGCGTGCGGACTTCAGCGGACAACAATCGTATCCCACTTATGGTACATGGATGATGTGAAGCTGATGGCCGCAACCAGTAAGCAGCTTGACTCAATGATTAACATAGTATCGTGCGTTGGGAAATCCATTGGAATGGAGCTTTCTACAGCAAAGTGTGCTAAGCTTGTGTGCCCACATGGTGCTGTTGATCCGGATCAGCCAGCAACTGTCACTGTGGATCAAGCCTCCAGCATTGCCTCCTTGGCGGACGGCTCCGTGTACGCCTACCTTGGCATAAGGGAGTGTTTTGGCATGGCGGAACAGTCTGTTAAGGTGGCCACCACCAAAGAGTTCAGGAGGCGATTGCGGCTGGTGCCCCACACGTCTCTCAATGCCTGCAACCTCTCTCGTGCTATTAACTCTTATGTTACCCCAGTGCTGTCGTATGGCTTGTGCATTGTGCCATGGACGAAGGATGCTATTCCAACCTTCGACAGGAATGTCCGAAGTCCACTCCGCGCAGTGGGAGCACACCACCCACGATCTTCCACCATCCGCTTTCACCTGCCGAGATCTGAGGGTGGCCAAGGGATTGTATCGGTTGAGCACCTGCTGGAGAGGAAATACATCCACCTGTCTAGGTATCTCCAGGCGCACTCTGACCTGCCGCTGATTGCTGCGCTGCATGCTCATCATGAAAATCTTCCGCCTACAAAGTCGATCATCTCCCGGGCGGCCATGGCAACGGAGCACTTCAACATCCTGGACATCGGAGGTGCAACAACTGACGTTGTTAAGTCTGCTATCAGAACCACCACCCAAGCTTCTCTGCGGCAGAAGCCCCTGCATGGTCGCTATTGGCAGAGGAGTGGCGGTGTATTGGACATGCCTCTCTCATTCAACTTCTTAAAGTCTCCAACATTGCGTCCATCCACTGAGTCATCCGTATTTGCTGCTCAGGATCAGGTGGTTACCAGGAACTACCAGAGATCGGTTATTGGCGACACTTCCGTGGTGGACGTGTGCCGTTTGTGCGGAGGTCCGGGGAGACTGTTGACCATATTTTGGCATGCTACCCCGTGTTGGCACGGACGGCATACATTACTCGCCATAATCGTCTTGCCGCTATAGTCCACCGGGCACTCTGTCATCGCTACAAACTGGTATCTCCTGCTTCCCCTGGCCACTTGCCACACTACGTCGAGGATAGTGAAGGCCGTTAGTTAATGTGGGAAATACCAATCCCTACAGATAGGATGGTTGGAGCAAATCGGCCGGATCTTGTGTGGGAAGATGGCAAGTCAGTCCAACTTATTGATGTCAGTGTGCCACTGGATCATAGAGTAACACTAAAACATGCTGAAAAGAGAGCAAAGTACTTGCCCCTCGCAGTGGAAATTGGGCAGATTCGGCAGCGAGAGGCAGTGTCCGTAGTGCCCATCATAGTTGGTGCTCTTGGTGGCCTGACGAAGGAAGCGGCTACCTCAATTAAGCGGCTATGTGGAGAAGAGCGGCACCTTCACGAACTGCAGCAGGCTGCTATCCTGGGCTCGATGGCCATTCTAAGATCTGTTTTGGGTGCAGCGTAGGGCTCTTCGCTGTCCCTGGTGGGCTCCTTATGCTCTGTATGTAATTGTATTCGTTTTTGTTTGTAATTGAAACACTGGTATTTCTGTGGTTATTTGTATTTGATCTTTCTGTGGGAACGCATTGGAGGTTGTGCCCAGTGATGAGCTTTACCCGCCTGAATTTTTCGCCAACTTCTGATGCTCCCCTTTCTGCAATACCTGTTGTCATGATACCTTTAGGCTTTAATGCCTGTGATGGTTACATGCGCCTTTCTCCCTTCCTCTCTCTCTCTCTCTACCTTACTTTTTTCCGTTAATTATTCCGTGCTGCTTACCTTTGGCTATGATAAGTCCGGTGAGTTAGTGTAATACCTCCAATTTTTATTTTTATTTTCAATTTGGAGTGGAATAAAGAATCAAAACAATAATAATAATGACAGTTCGCATATAAACGCATTGCACGAGGTCAACGCAGAAACAGATTGAACAGCATCCAGAAGCGAGAGAGAAAGTAAAGAGGGTGAGGAAAATTGAGGAGAGTGTAAATAAAGAAAATAAAGAAGTAGATGGGGAATGGGAGAGAGAGAGAGAAAAAAAAAGATAGAAAGAGAGGGAGAGAGAGAGAGAGAGAGAGAGAGAGAGAGAGAGAGAGAGAGAGGGAGGGAGGGAGGGGGGAGAGATAGAGAGAGAGATAGAGAGAGAGAGAGAGAGAGAGAGAGAGAGAGAGATAGAGAGAGAGAGAGAATCATTCGAATCCAGTATTGACGCCATCTTCAGAATCATTCGAATCTGGTATTGATGCCATCTTCAGAATCATTCGAATCTGGTATTGATGCCATCTTCAGAATCATTCAAATCCGGTATTGATGCCATCTTCAGAATCATTCAAATCCGGTATTGATGCCATCTTTAGTATCATTCAAATCCGGTATTGATGCCATCTTCAGAATCATTCAAATCCGGTATTGATGCCATCTTCAGAATCATTCAAATCCGGTATTGATGCCATCTTCAGAATCATTCAAATCCGGTATTGATGCCATCTTCAGAATCATTCAAATCCGGTATTGATGCCATCTTCAGAATCATTCAAATCCGGTATTGATGCCATCTTCAGAATCATTCAAATCCGGTATTGATGCCATCTTCAGAATCATTCAAATCCGGTATTGATGCCATCTTCAGAATCATTCAAATCCGGTATTGATGCCATCTTCAGAATCATTCAAATCCGGTATTGATGCCATCTTCAGAATCATTCAAATCCGGTATTGATGCCATCTTCAGAATCATTCAAATCCGGTATTGATGCCATCTTCAGAATCATTCAAATCCGGCATTGATGCCATCTTTAGTATCAGCAACGGTATCTATTGTACATACACAGTGTATTCACAAAGGTCGGGTGTTGAGCAGTAATATCACGTGGCACAAGAACGCCCCTAGATGTGACTGCCACTAACGGGAGCTATCAGCTGCAGCAGGATCTTGCACAGTTCCGCTGTTCTGGTGTACATCAGCATGCATGTTGGTCTGGTTTACATCAGCATCCATTTCATAGATATCATCAGTAGCACCATCTTGAGAGATCTTGTTGCTCTGGTTGACAGCTTTAATACAGCTCGACGGGTCACCATCCATCTCGTAAACGTCATCTTGAACAACCCGTGGGGTAGTCTTGTGGATCTGCTTAACAGTGGTAGTCGAGATTGATGGGGCATCATCCATCTCATAAACGTCATCCTGAGCAGCGCATGGGATAGTCCTTTGGCTCTGCTTTGTATTCAGAGTAGAGTTTGACGGGGCATCATCCATCTCACATATATCGTCTGCAGCAGGACCTTGCACAGTTGGGTCGTTGTTGTATATTTCAGACTCAGGGCTGTCTTCTGTACTCCTATTGTTCTGATAAGCATCTTGAGTGGAGGAGCAGATGGTTGACTCAAGTTCGTAAATATGTTCTTCATCTTCAATGGGTTTGATTCTCTCAGGCAAATCAGGGTTATCCATCTCATAGGTATCATCTGAATTTTCTTTCTTTGCCTTGTTGTTCTGGTAAACTTGAAACCCAGCGGAATCCAATCCAGCATACATCTCATTTTCGGAGCATTCTGCCGGTATCTCGTTCCCGTAGACTTTATAGTCCACAATGGTACCCGCGGTGTTTGGCAGTTCGCGTAGCGTCACCGTGCAATCATTAGCTGGACGAACAGGAAGTGACTCGTACGTGTCCGTTTCCACTTGGCCCTCCCCTCCGCATTGAGAAGAATTGTTATCATTGGCCCGCCTTATACCAATTGTTTGTCTAGATTCAGTCCTTCCAACGAAACGGCCCTTGAGGTTTGTCCAAGCATTGGTCAGTTTGGTTGCCGGGCCTGCGACGATCACGAGAGAAACATACAAAATACAATACATTCCTATTAATTTTCCTGTTTGTCCCTTTCCCTCAAACCAGTTAATATTAATTTACTTCAAGTAATTTTATACAAAAGGTGGCAGTCACTACACTGGCATTTTGCCCATATTCACAGTCCTCCATTCGCTCGCTTTGCCGCATGTATTTTTCCACACCACAAAAAAACAGATGTTTTACAGTAGTTTTCTGAAATTTCTCACACACTTTTGATCTCTGTTTTGTTGTATACAAGTACTTCGAAGAAGGTTGCACCTGATAGTATTATTATATATATTTACATACTACTCAATGTTGTCAACGATGATGATTCTCTGTTGAAGAATGTCGTAAGAAAACATTCTCAAGTCTCTAATGTAGTGTATGGGCTGTCAGTCAGTGTCCTGTTGAATAACTGACATGCCTGATGACTGACTGCCCGAAAATAGCGATATGGAAGTGTATGATCACACTTGTCACAAAGTTCAATTCATAATTTTTATTGTCAGTTTTGTTCTTAGTCGCTGGACTTTCTGACTGTATATAGTATCTAGTTACAATGGTGCACAGTATTCTTAAATCCTTATGTGTCTGTCTTTTCGACTTTACTTTTCTATCTATTTTTTCACTGTATGCGAGCCTTACAGTGTTCATGGGTAAGAGGTAGTTGCAAACGGAAAAGGTCTGTGCACATATTAACTGACACCACCATGACTCGAACAAAGGACCATCGGTTTTTGGCCAGCGATGCCCTACCACCAGCCTCTTGGTTTTTATCTACTGTCAGGGTCAGGTTGAATGTTTTGCGCTCTTCAGAACGTTGTTGTTTCGAATCTTTATTCTCACGATAGCCAGTGGCCAATAAGAGTTAATCGTGAAAGAAAGGAGAAAGACTGAGGAAGAATTGGGTGGGCAGAGCCTAGGGGTTAACGACTACTTACGTGTACGGGCAGGGGTGGTCGCTACACGAGCATACAGAGTTGTGCAACAGCAGGGATATCTAGGATTTGAAGAGAGTACGAGAAGGGATTTCGCAAAGCTGGGTGGGCAAGCAATTAGAGTAAAGAAGGGCCTTGTACAGGGGAGAATGGAGACAGCGATCAGTCCTCCGAGTTGGCAAGTGCCAAGTACGAGAGCGACGTAAATTATACGAAGGTTGCACGTTGCTAGCAGTATGCAGCGAGAGTATATGTGGTGGGGCATAATTGTGGCGCAGAGAATGCGCGAAGAGTATATGTTTAACTTTAAAGCGTGAAAATAATGTTGGCCATTTGATGCGATGCAAAAGGTGGGAGTGTTCTAAGTGTGTGTAAAGGAGAAGGTGGAGACATATTCTGGCGGCTTTCCGCTGGAGTCGTTCTAGCCTGTCAAGGGAAGTGTGGGACAACGGTGTGAGAGCATTGCTCGCATATGTGAATATAGGTAGTATGTATGTCATGATAGATGTGAGATAAAGAATCACTGGTGAGTGTAGACCTTAGTCTAAAAAGAATATTGAAAGACTTGAGTGATTTTTGACTATGTATTTAACATGCTCCGTCCAACGGAGGTCATGCTGAAAGATTATTCCGAGGTGTTTGTGCTACGGTAAGCGGACTATTCCTGAGGGTGATCTGGGGAAGTTGTTCAGGGGGGCGGTTATTGTGGTAGAACGGGAGGATGACTGTTGTTGTTGTTTCAAATCTTTATTCTCACGATAGCCAGTGGCCAATAAGAGATAATAGTGTAAGAAAGGAGAAAGAGTGAGGAAGAATTTGGTTGGCAGGGCCTAGAGGCTAATGACTACTTAAGTGTACGGGCAGGGGTGGTCGCCACACGAGCATACAGAGTTGTGTGTTGTTGTTGTTGTTGTTGTTGTTGTTGTCATCCTGGTTTTGAGAAACATTCATGGTATTATGCCTGGGCCTTCAGCCGTGTATGCAAAGCCCTCTGTTGGGAAGTCAGGATCAGCATGGATAGGAGGTTTGGGATCGGCACTGCAGAATACACCTGATCAGCAGAGCAGAAAGACGTCTGCAAACACCCCTCCAGACAGCATTCGTCAGGAGGTTGACAGCCGTCAACGTGATGACGTTCCCTCGCTTTTCCAGCAAGTTTTGCGGGAGCAGAGGGACACCAGAGAGAGAGAGAGAGAGAGTGGATGAGATGTTCGGTGGTATTTCGAAAAACTGGAGTCCGTCATGGCGGAAAACCGGAGCTTGAGAAAGAAGCTTGCATCTTTCGAATCGAGAATGGCGGAACTAGAGAGGAAGTGTGGTTCCCTGGAGACCACCGTACGGGTACAGCGTACAGCATGCTCTCTCGTTACGGCACAACGAGGTCCGAGACCTAACAGCAACACTGCTACGCGACGTCGCACATGATGTTGAGGTTGAGCCACACCTCCAGCCTGTGACCGGTGAGCACTTTCTGCTGCGGTCCACCATCACGGCAGAACAAGCTCGGCTGGGTGTAGTTGTCAGCGGTCTACATGTTCAACGGTTTGAGAGGACCTTTCTAGATGCCTGGGTTTTCAACCCATTTGCCCCCTCAAATCGGAAACCAACGCTCGCTGGCAGCTACAGAAAGCATGAAGAGGAGAAAAGGAGGAGTTACGAGAGTCGCATTTCTCAACGTGGAGCACGTTTCCTTCACCCCGTGGTATTCAGTACAACTGGTGGCCAAGGGAAGGCAGCCTCCACCCTCTTTGGCCGCATTGCAGGCATTAAGTCTGAGAAGAATGGTGAGCCGTTCTCTGTGGCAATGGCTTTGATCAGATTCCAGCTGTCCTTTGCTCTCGTGAAGGCGGCCGTGGCATGCCTTCGTGGGCATCGCCACAAGTTGAGCAAATATGACCCTCATGCATATTCTGCCACACTTGCTGTCTCCGAGTGTCATCTGTCGGTAACCTATCTTAACCTATCTGTTTTCTCCGGCCTTCCCCTTTCTCTGTGTCATTTTGTATGTTATATTTTTCTCGGATTCCAGTTTTTCTCCCTTCATTATAATTTAAGGTGGTTCATACCCAAATCGGAAAATAAAAAAAGCCGGATCGATTTTTTTCAAAATTGCACAGCTATTTAGTCCTACCAGAATATTGTCACTCCCGAAAAATGAGAAGGATTGAAACACTTCTTCAAAGTTTAAACCTGATTTCAAATTTCTGGTATTTTGGAGCATCCCATCCAAGCATTTTGCCTCTTTTTATTATTATTTTTTTTTACTATGTTCACATAACCAGCTCGAAAAGAATAAGGAAAGACAATGGTACAGAGACTAGGACAAACGTGACAACTAATGAGCAGGCGCTGCACGGAGACGCAGCAGTGATGGTGGGGCATTGATGACTCTGCCGACCTGAGGTCTTGGCGTCACGGCCAAAACCACGCACCAAAAACAATGAAAAAAAAAGAAGAAGATAGAGCTGTACAGGTAAGAAAGATGCAAAACCCAAGGCTTAACACGAGCGATTGTGGGGGAGAAACTGTCTTAGCATCATACTATTCATAGGGAATCGACTGCCCAGAGCCAGTTTGTGCTGCGAAGATGGCGGTAAACATTCGTTTTGAATGATTGCATTCTCTTGCTGTGGGGAGGCTGAGATAGGAGAGCGGCAGGGAGGGAGTTCCAGTCGCTGATGCTGCAGTGTGGGAATGAGCGCTCGCTGCGAGTTCTGGGGTTGGTAGAGATGATGTGGCGCGGTGGCAACACAGAGAGCAGCTGCGGAGGACCAGGCAAGTAGTGCAGCTTGTACAGGCAGGCAAGCGAGGCAACAGTGCGGCGGATGGCCAGGCTGGGTAGGTGTGCCCCAGGGTCGATAGCATGAAGCGCGGCGCTGAACATTGTTCAGACGCTGGAGGTGACTCTGCACAGCTCCCATCCATACAAGAGGCGCATACTCTCTACTGTTGTAATGTTCAGACTAAATGTTGTAATGTTCTTTTCAGTCATCTGAGTGGTGATTTCTGCAGTCAAGCCCAGCAAAATAGGGTGGCTGGGTTTTCTTTTCAGGGTTCTTGGCTGCCCACACTAACAATCTCATTCGGTTTGAAACGCAAAAATATCGGTACTCCGCGGGGTGCTTCCCGAAATTGGCGCGATAGATTTTCTTCATTTCTTCAAGAAGTACAGCCAGCTATGTGGTTCATATGCTAAACATGAGATATTTGACATAGAATCAATGTGAAGTACCTTGAAGCACGGTTTACTGAATCTAATATCGGCTGATGTGTGCGGTGGACCAAAACAGTATAGGCACACATAATGGCCCAATATATTTCATTCAAATTTTGCAGAGGTATAATTAGATAATACTGGGAAGGGTCTTCAAAGTTATAGCCCCCTGCAGCTACCAGAAGCATTCTTTCTCAAGTGCTCTCAATTTGTCGATTCTGCGGTAATATTACATAGTGTTGAAACGATCTCACCGGATACTCGTTAGCTCGCTCGCCAGAAACTCGGCTCGTTTGTGCGGCCAGCTCGTTTGCACTAACGAACACCGTACACCGTACTCCGTACACATGGCAGTACATGTCGACCGGGGAGTCGTAAACTATTAATTTTACGACTACCTGGTCGATCGAGAGTCCAGTCCCGCGCAAAGTGAAATCACTCGCAGTTACAGGTGACTGTATGCCTGCACGACACTTGAGTTGTTTCAGTTGTCGTTGCAGCTTTGGTGGACCCTACTGATGTCTTGTTCCGCATCTGCTGACCTGTCGCAGAATATGCTTCGGTCACTTCTCCATTCGAGTGAAAGTTACGCTCGGTCGTTTGGAAGTTTTCTCCCGCGATGCAGCGAAGACCAGGGCTACTTGCAATCTTTGCAAAACGGTCTATTCTTACAAAGGCTAATCGACGACGGCGCTGAAAAGACATCTCGACACCAAACAGCAGTCCGAAGTGAAGCAGCAGCAACCCCAAATGCCGGCGGTGATAATTTAACCAGCTTAAAAAAATCGAACTAATACTTGGAAAAAAATTATTCAAAAAAATAATCATATTTGCCACATCAATGAAACTCGTTAGCTCGCTCGATAGCTTGCTCGTAAGTGGAACTGATCGCTCGTTTGTTATAGATACGCTCGTTTCAACACTAATATGTATCTATTATTGCACGATTAAAGAGGTCAATATATTTCATATATTGACCGATTATGAGGGCAATAATAGATTTATCACGACATAGCATACCTAAAACTGGTTTTGCTTTGCCATAGGAAGAAAGGAATACTATTGTAATAGTATAATAGTATGTGCATATGCCGTTTACACTGGACATTACTTCTGTGTAAACCGAAGTTTTCAGTTGTCTCTTGTAGTATGTTCCCCAAGTTCTTTGACTGAGAATCTGACAGTTTGGGTTCAAATCCCAGCATAAGGCTTCAGACTTTTCTTCTTTCAGTTCTGATTTTTTTCTTAGTTGAGGAAAAAATTCTAAGTCCTCGGGCTAAGTGGTCAATAATAAGTGGTCAATATAAGCGGTCAATATTATGCTGATATTTGACCGCTTAGAGATCACAAGTTTCTGTGGGGGTCAATAATAAGAGAGTGATAATACACATTATCACTCTCTTATTATTGACCCCCACAGAAACTTGTGATCTCTAAGCGGTCAAATATCAGCATATATTGACCGCTTATATTGACCACTTATTATTGACCACTAAAGCGGGATTCACAGAAGCTTTTTTGCGATGCGACACGCGATGCGACAGCCGCGAAACCGGGAAATCCCCAAATCGCGACCATCGCGGACCCCACGCAACTGCCGCAACAGGGCCATCGCAGAAGTTGAGCTTGGCTCAACTTTTGCGATGCGATGCGATGCGAAAAGCGATTTGGCGTACGATTTTGACCTTTTCTACAGCAAAGTTGTACAAAGGTTCAAGAGTTGCCTATCAATTTGTACAAGTTGTATCAAACCGCGCGAATATCATGGTGACGTAGCCCAATCGGCAAGACTTTGTCGCATCACTGAATTCTTCTGTGAATGGTATTTCGCGAGTTCGCATCGCACGCATCCGTCGCAGATCGCGTCGCATCGCGTGTCGCATCGCAAAAAAGCTTCTGTGAATCCCGCTTTAGCCCGAGGACTTAGAATTTTTTCCTCAACTTAGAAAAAATCAGAACTGAAAGAAGAAAAATCTGAAGCCTTATGCTGGGATTTGAACCCAAACTGTCAGATTCTCAGTCAAAGAACTTGGGGAACATACTACAAGAGACAACTGAAAACTTCGGTTTACACAGAAGTAATGTCCAATGTAAACGGCATATGTACATACTATTATTATTATTATTATACGCATTCCCGCGTTGAAGTGTAGCAGCAGTATGCTGCGTCCACAGCTTCGCTTATGCAGAATGGCTTGGGTGAGAGGAGAGGGGAGAGAAAGCAACAAGGCAACCAACATCTATGAAATTGGTCACAATAACATGAAGAGAACCAACCTACATACATGTACGCATGATTGCACAAGAATGGAGACGACCAAATATAATGGCTATAATCATGGCTATAATCATTGTGCCACAAAACCGGTACACAGGAGATCTGACGACAATGTAACGAAACATAAAACTCAGTTACTCAATACAGGTTCCACTAAATTACAAGAGAACAACGCTACAACGTTAGAATTGCCGCTAAATTATCGCAAGTGTAGAGAACGAGTCCAATACAAATGAAAACCATGAACAGACTGTCCCGAAGTTATTTTGGGAACAAATTGTACTACATGACTGTACTTGCTGATACTGACGCTGACGGAACACGAATTTGAGTTGAATACTCACGAAGTCTTGTACATGCACATCATTATGCGCCGGTGTTGTGGAGTAAGCAGGTGCGTCAGTCACCAATCCAGCTTCAGCTCCACGCTCGCTTCAGCAGAATGTTGCCCGCGTTTGCTTTGCCTCCACACGGATAGACGACCAGCGCAGAGTCCCGCAGCTCCGTGGCCGTAAGGTCTTGATATTCGCCGTTAGCGCCGTCAAGTCTCAGTCCACCTCTCACACCAAGCCGCCCTATAAAAATCTTTCTCTCTCCATTGGAGTGCTCCCCAGTTGCGCGAGGAGACTAGAGAAATTCCTCCGGTGAGCGAGGAAGAAGAGCGGAGTTACCCAACTCAACCTATCATACTATTATACTATTACAATAGTATTCCTTTCTTCCTATGGCAAAGCAAAACCAGTTTTAGGTATGCTATGTCGTGATAAATCTATTATTGCCCTCATAATCGGTCAATATATGAAATATAGACCTCGTAAAAGACCTCGGGGGACCTCGGTCTTTTACTCGTTCTATATTTCATATATTGACCTCTTTAATCGTGCAATAATAGATACTTATTGCGATCAATTGAAACTGCATTATGGATTTCCTTGAAATTTGGCAGGGATGTTCCTTTGATTGATGAAAAAGCGCCGGCAAAGTTTCATGCTTCTGCTACCACCACAACATACCTTTTGAATCGATTATACAAGCTATTCTTGTCAAAATACCTACCGAAAAAAGAAGAAAAAAAGTTTTCACCGGGGAGGCTCGAACCCGTGAGGGGCAAAAGTCAAAATATTTCAAAATATTTCTACTCCTAACCGGCGCAGAAGGATGCTCAAAGGACTAGCTTTTGATTTAGGTACGAGACACCTTAGGTGCAGTTAAGCGTGTATTGGCTTATGACGTTTTTTCTTCTGTTTGTATTTAGCGCTTGACCGGTTATTATTTTCCTTCTCTTTATTTTGCGCTACATATTATTTTCCTGGTTTTAGAGTTCGTATCGGAGTAGCCGTTCTGTAATACACAGCGTACAGATCTATTTATCATAATATTATTACTGCTGCCTTCACTATACATGCAAAAGAGAAAGACCAAGGAACTACAAGTTATGCTATACTGTCCACTAACACCACCAGTTACTACAATCAGCTCATGCGATAACATTGCACGGCACTGACCGACGGTACTGACGTTCTACAACTAACTGGCTAACAGCTCTAGCACATCTTGGATGCGCACTCCAACAGCCTTCCAGCTTGGAAGGTTCTAAGTTGTAGAAATAACATAAGGAGGTCTTTCTCTTTTGTATGAATTAAACCTTGGCTCTCCATCCGAGTCCATTCCTTCACTATACCTGAATACTTTCATCTGAAAAGCCGCACAGCATGATCCAAACACAGACCAACGGAGAGGTAGGATTACGTTTGAGTATGCTCTTGCTGGAACAGCAGTGTGCAAGGCTGTGTTTGTTTAGGCACATGATGCAACAGAGCATACAATCAAGAGTGTCCAGTTGGAATAGACCATTCTGGATGACTGCACAATTACTCTACTGAAGTCTTGTGTTGATGTCGCCTCCTTATCGCCTGCTGGTCCGCCTCCAAGTATCCCGCCAGCAGGATTGTCGAGCGAACGAGCAGAATACCTCTACAAGCAGATTCGACAACACTGCCTTGAGGAGAATAGAGATATTACCTGCCCAGAGCTAGTAGCAGGTGCTTCGCTGCCAGAAGAGCCCTAACGGGTCTTGTATTGACATTGTCATGTCAACAGTAATTCTTTTTCTTATCTCATTGCCTGTAAAATAGCATCGCGAAAGCAGAACACATCAGCAAATATTTGGGCTATTTTCACAAATTCTGCACTGAGCGGTCATACTGCCCTGAAATTTTGGTATATTGAGTAGCATGGATGTGTGGTTGTTTTCCATGAAAAACTCTATTTCATGCACTCAACAAAGGGTGATTTTCTTAGATTACTGGTCAATTGTGTCCAAATTCTCTTCAGACTTGGAAACACTATTGAAGTGAAGTCGGATGTCAATGAAAACAATCGTCAAGGGAAAAGGGAAAAAAGTGAGATTCTATGTCTGCCATTTTTACATAATCCATAGGAAGAAAATTAACAGCATTTTTAGCGTGCTTAAAGAGAACTCAACCCTACCTTGCACTGCTGGGGGTAGCTTTCCAGTTTGATTCTGGTGTAAAAAGAACACCACTGCTACAACGATCAGTACGCCAATTCCGAAGATTGAACCAACCACTGTGCCGACGGCAGACTTGGAGTTTAAATTAGACCCCGCTGTACGAACAATACAGTAGCACAGGTGCATCAGAAAGTTGGCACGAGTGTGCCCATGCGTGCTTGTGTGTGTGTGTGCATGCGTATGTTTATATGTGTATGTGTGACTGTCTATGTGTCTGCTTGTGTACGTGCGTGTGAATGTGTGTGTGTGTGTGTGTGTGTGTGTGCACGTGTGTGTGTGTGTGTGTGTGCGCGCGTACGCATGATATGGAGAGCCTTTACAACTTTCATGTTCGGCCCTGTATATGGCAAACTCTTCAAAGTTGTGTACTTGCATGCTTTCAACAAACTCTTGACAGTCTGAACAGATGTACATGCATGTCAGCGGAAGGTCAGGAGGAGGGGGGGGGGGGGAGGGGGCGGGGACTAGCACATCACGGTATTGCGGTGATGTAGTTGTTGCACGAAACGCGGGAGGACCGTACCTAGTTTCAACTAATTGTTATAAAGGTCGTGGTAGCGTGGTTTAGTTTGGACTATTGCTTGCCTGGCGAGGGGAGAACATGCCAGCAGTGTAGTTGTAGGATACTGGCTGGTCGAACAGCAGGATAGTGTGCAGGAGTACAGAGAGTGCTGAGTGAGAGAGAGGAGGAGGGGAGAGAGAGAGAGAGAGAGAGAAAAAGAGAGAGAGAGAGAGAGAGAGAGAGAAGGAGGAGGATGAGGAGGAGGAGGAGAGAGAGAGAGAGACAAACACACACAGGGTGCATTCCGTCACCACCTTTCTGATTTCCTTTTCACATACCCCACTATTCTAGCAAGGCAGCAAGCGAGGCATAAGATGATGCCAGACTTGAAAGAGCAACTTCCTCAAATTCCTTTCCATTCCATTCCTTCTTTCTCTTTCTAGGCCTTACAATAATGACGTTTTACACTATACTTATGCATGTCGACAAGCAGGAAATGCTTACTGCTGAATTAGTCCTCTTTGCGGCTGTATTCGTCAACCTCATTTCGACTATTGAAAGAGAACTGATAACTCAGTCTCGTCCAAACACTGGCTGGTCCAGCAATTTCCAGGCGTCTTCCAGTGTCATCAGCCAATAGGAAGCTTGTTGTCCCAACTATTTCATTTACAAAAATGGTTGGATCCTCCATCGTTGACTCGTGAAGGAACGGGCTAGAAACTGACTCTACAGGGCAATTGATCTTGTCCTCTGCTCCCCTGTGGTGCAGGGCTTGTACGCTGCTGACGTAGCACAACACAGTACACTAACGCAACTCAAGTTGCACAATGCAGCTCACTGATGCAACTCGGCTAGCACGATGCAGCTAACTCATGCAATTCGGCTAGCAGCCTGACATGAACTGTAGTCCTCTTGTCTAATTTCTTATTGTTTCAAAGGTTAAACGTCATACACAACTCAATCAATCATGAAGTAAAATATACAGATAGCAGAGAGAGATAGACAGAGAGAGAGAGAGAGAGACAGAGAGAGAGAGAGAGAGAGAGAGAGAGAGAGAGTGTGTGAGAGAGATGCTCTTCTCGTTTGGGGTAGTGCCTTTGCTGCTTGCGTTGTGCAGAGCTCACTGATTTGTCAGTTTGAGAGCTCTGGCAAGGTACTTCCGGGCCTGGTTAAAATCTGGCTTATTATTCATTGCTATCAGGTTCGGCCTCATTTCCTCTCTGCTGCTCTTATGAGTCCACAAAGGACGAAACAGTTCTGTCCGCATATTGAGTATTTCGTTCCTGCTCTTGTAACAGTGGAGAACTGTTGTTCTCTTGTCTAATATTTTTATTGTTTCAATGGTTATACGTGACACACAAACCTTGCAAGAGAGAGAGAGAGAGAGAGAGAGAGAGAGAGAGAGAGAGAGAGAGACAGAGGGAGAGAGAGAGAGGGAGAGAGAGAGAGAGAGAGAGAGAGGGGGGGGGGGGGAGAGAGAGAGAGAGAGAGAGGGAGAGAGAGAGAAAGAGAGAGAGCGGCTCTTGCAGAAGTTGAGCTCTATCGTGTGGGGTAGTGCCTTTGCTGTTTGCGTGGTAATCATTTGTATGTGTATTCTCCACAGGCCTTAGTCTCAGAGCTGTGCAGTTCAGAATTCTGGCAAAGTACGTTCGGGCCTAGTTGAAGGGGAAGTTAAGGCTAAAATCAAATTTTCACCAGTTGTAGTCTTCGGGGTGCTGAGTTGAATGGTCATGGTCCGAGGAAGCTGAGACGCTCCCTTCCTACTTTAATCCCAATCGAACTCGCGCACTTCCACCGAAACTGGTTGACTGCACCCTGCTAGATGGGGAATTGTATGCAAAATGTCACTAAAAGCGCCATTTCGTTCTTATAAAAGCACGGATCACAGCGATTGGCCCATATGTTATAGTCTTTGGACGCTGAATCGACTGGTTTCGGTCGGAAAAGGCTGCGATGCAGCGTTCGGCCCTTATTCCCAATTGAACATGCTTGAACAAGCGGTCACGTGCTCCTGCGTAACCATCATCTGGTCACCGTGCCTGCAGGGTACAACTTACAGCCTGTTTGACCTTTTTTTGGGCGCAATTCTGTCACTTGAGTTGAACTCGAGTTGAACCTTGGTGTGAAAGTTGTCGCCTGCTGGCGCGGTGAGCAGGTGACTTGGGCACGCAGGAGCATGTCACCGCTTGTTCAAGCATGGACGGAAGGACGGACCGATGAACGAACGGACGGACGGACGGACGAACGAACGAACGGACGGACTGGCAGACCGACGGAACGACGGACAGACTGGCAGACAGGCAGGCAGGCAGGCAAGCAGGCATACAGACAGACAGACAGACAGACAGACAGACAGACAGACAGACAGACAGACAGACAGACAGACAGACAGAAAGACAGACATACAGACAGGCAGACAGACAGACAGACAGACAGACGGAGAGATGGAGAGACGGAGAGATAGAGAGATATAGAGAGAGCGAGAGAGAAAGAAAGAAAGAAAGAAAGAAAGAAAGAGAGAGAGGGGGGGGGAAGGGAGGGAGAGAGAGAGAGGGAGAGAGATAGAGAGGGAGAGAGAGAGACAGCAAGGAAAACTAATGTTTTGAGGCATTACAGTGTGCCAGTGTTAATTAGGCAAAGCAAGCTCTACCAACAGGCTGTCTTGGCTTCACTGGCAGAAGAGGGTTTGTACAGCAAGACGAACACACACTGGACTTACCCGTGTCAACAACCATCACTGCACATGTAGGTATGGGCGATGACCAACTGCCTTCGTCCGTGCAAGTACTGATGTTAGTTCCATTAAGACTAGACCCCTCGTTACACTGGTAGACTATCTGATTACCGTAGGTCAGCTGACTCGGTAGCACGTGTTGTCCATTTTCCGGTGCTACTCGGCTTGGGCACATTACAACTACACAGAAAAATGGAAACGAAACTTCAATCTGTATTGGTTGAATATTGAAGATGAGAGAAACCATAACCCCATCACCACCATTCGCACCGAAGCATGGACTTTATGGCCCTTTGTCGTTCAACCTGCTGCCTGCCTCTCTGTTAATCTCACTCATGCTTGCACAGAACATTGACAGACTTCGTTTTTAGAAGACCCTGTGCTTTGTACACTCTGTTTGTGTATTCCATTGAAACATTTCCACTGGTCAGAACTGTGTTGTTGGCACAGTTCCTTTTCCAGATTCATCTTCCTTGCATAATGCTTGTTGTAATGTTAAATGTGCTACCTTCACTATTACACTGTCTGCCACTGACACACACACACACACACAAACACGAACACACACGCACACACACACATACAAACACACACACACACACACACACACACACACACACCCACACACACACGTGCAGACACACACACACACACACACACACCTGTGCACACACACACACACCCATGCACACACTCAGACTCAGACTCAGACATGCCCATTGTGGAAGCGATAATAGCGAACAGCTATTTTAGACATAGCAACTTGTGCTGGGATTACACCATTCAATAGCTTGCAAGGGTGATTAAATGACCGCCACTAATGTTTGCCTGGTATCCACGACACAGCTGATTGAAGTAGCTTTCTCTGGCCAGTGAACTACCTGCTATCTGTATATTTCCATTTTTCCATTTTTCCATTCTTTTTTTGAACACACATACGCCACACCACCTACTCCGGCATACACTGGCTGTTGGTAACCACCCAGGAGAATGAAAGAAGAGCTAGGAGAACGAGAAAGATGTTTGCAACCATAATCGTCGGGAATTGAACCCGCAACCTCTCGATTGGAAATCGACTACACATACCAGTGCACCATATGGGACACACACCACACACACACACCACACACACACACCGCACACACACACCGCACACATACACACACACACACACACGCGCGCGCACACACACACACACACACACATATACCTTGGTCCTTGGTAACACTGCCATCAAATGGTCACGTGTCCCCTGTGCAGGGGTCGACAGCACTGAGTTCAGCATTGGATCCAGAAACGCCGCTCTACTTCCTGGACAGGAAATTAGCACAGCTATGCAGGTCAAAACCACGGGATGACTTGCAGCAGCAACCGCAGCCGAGACAATGCGCTCTGCAGCAGGGCAGGGCAACCCTCTGTTTCCGGACCGAGTCTGCTGATGCCACAGTCGAGACCGACGCCACTTCAGCAGCCGAGTTTGACAGACACTTATGCGAAGCTAGCCCGCCAGCACTCAAGAACCATCTCCCGCACGCATTACATAGTCGGCTGCCGGACTGCTCAGATATGGGCTTCCTCCTCTCGGCCAGGCACTTGTGGCGATTCTTGTATTTCTGGTGGGCGAAAGTACGCTGGCAGGCATCGCAGAGCACAGAAGTGTCACGCTGAGCCGATCGCGGTACTGGTTGAGCGGAATACGCACTGCGCCATTTCCCACGCTCCTGGGCGAGGTCGTACCATTCCGTGTGGTCGATGTTCACTGCGGAGAGGTCAGCTCTGACAGAGTCTCGCCACCGTTTCCGAGGACCGCAAGCCGGCCTCGGCGGAAGGAGCGCACCAAACAGGAGCTGGCGCGGAGTTCTATCGCCGACCATCCTAGCTAGATAGCCTAGCCACTCCAGACTTCGGCGAAGAACACGTGTGGTAATATCCACTGGATCTCGACGATTCCAGGCCTCCAGAATGGTCTTCCTGTTGATGTGGAAGTCCCAGGTGTCTCTTCTACCGAGGGCTAAGATTGCGGAAATGCAGCGAAGATGGAAGGCGGACAGCGCCGGAAGCTCGCTTTTCAGTGGCACCCAACACTCCGCTCCGTAAAGGAGAAGAGAAGCCACACATGCATCATACACCATTCGCTTCGTTGCCAGTGAAAGATCGCCATCATCAAAGACAGATCGACGCAATGCTCCGAATGCCCTACATGCTGACGCTATTTGGGACCGAGTGTCCACTGCGGTGCGGCCACCAGTATGGATGATGGAGCCTAGGTAGCGAAAGTAATGCACATTCTCGACAATTTCCCCGCCAACCACCAATGGACGACGATCCTCCGGAGAAATGCCGAAGCCAAACGCCATTACTTTGGTTTCTCGACAATTTCCCCGCCAACCACCAATGGACGACGATCCTCCGGAGAAATGCCGAAGCCAACCGCCATTACTTTGGTTTTTGATAGGTTGATGGTGAGGCCGAAGCAAGTTGCGACGTCCATGAACCGGCTGAGTACAAGTGTGGCACCATGGTGAGTTGTAGCAATAAGTGCCGAATCGTCTGCGAATTGACAGTCACGATGGATGTTGATTGTGTCAGTCTTCTGACGTTTGAAAAGGAGAGACGGTCCAGAGTTAGAGGAGACGGGAAGTCCAATCTCAGGTATGTCCGCAACCTCACGCTGCCACAGCTGGAATACTGCCCACATGACTATATTGAACAATACTGGGGCCATACAACAACCTTGTCGAAGGCCATCCTACCACCTCCAGAAGAGCGATGCCCCTCCAATTGTCACAGCTGGATAGATTTCCTTTTTTTGGTATCGGGACAAGCTGGCAGTCCCCCCACTCCTGGGGCACCCGCTCTGCATTCCACACTGTCTGGACAAGGTCTAATAGTGCCATCATGAGGCCATCCCCACCAGCCTTCAGCAGTTCCGGTAAGATTCCAGAGCCTCCTGCCGCTTTTCCATTCCGTAGTCGGCGCACAGCTTGCCTAAGCTCTTCCAGAGTAGGTGGATCGGCGAGGTCTTCACACACTTCCTGTTGCTCAATGGTGGCAACAGTTGCAGGTTCATACGAGGTTGGAACATTGTAAACCTTGGAGAAGTGGCGGTGCCATGTGCGGCCCTGATCCGTCGGTGAATTACAGACATTTCCGTTCTCGTCCCGCACATATATACACACACACATACACACACACACATTCGCGCTATGATCCAAGCTTGCAGCCTATATCAATCTTATCTTCTGAAAATTGTAGTCAAGTTGCTGTCTGGGGGTGTTTCTCAGCACAGCAAAGCCGTCGTCCCTGTACAGGCCAATCTGCGCTCTGCCGACGTGGGCTGTTAGTTCGTGGAGCATATATACGCCAACCAGCTCACACACTTCCGCGCCATCGAACGAGATCGAACGAGCCCATGGTGACATCGAACGTGCTGGCGTTGTTCTTCTTCACCCAAGGTTGGCCGTCTTTGAACAACACTGATTTTCGTGCGTGCATGACAATCTCCCTTTCCCCGTCCTCAATGTTAGTGCGGCAGAGCGCATACGGAAGAGTTTGACGGCGGTGTTTGCAGGGCATGGACTAAAGGTAACGATTGACACCAACCTAAAAATCGTAAATTTCCTCGACGTGACGTTCAACCTGTCAACCGGAGGATACATGCCACACCGAAAGCCAGGCGACACACCTCAGTACATCAACACTCACTCAAACCACCCACCGTCCATAATAAAGCAACTGCCAGCAGGAATAAGCCGACGCGTGTCAACCAACTCATCAAGTGAGGAAGCATTTAACGAAGCTGCGCCTATGTACAACAACGCATTATTGGCCAGTGGATACGCGGAAGGTATCGAGTACATGGGGCAACCAGCACAGAAAAACAGAAAGCGAAACTGAAAAAGAAAAATAACATGGTTCAATCCTCCTTTCAGCCGTAGCGTGAGAACAAACGTCGCTGCTGCCTTCCTCACAATGATCGACCGGCATTTCAAAAACACCCCCCTGAAAAAGATCTTCAACCGACATAACGTGAAGGTTAGCTATTCATGTATGCCCAACATCGCAGCGATTATCAGTGGGCACAACAAGCGGCAACTGATACAAGAACCTCCTGAAAAGCCTTGCAATTGTAGAAAAAAGCAGGAATGCCCCATGGAAGGACGTTGCCAGGCCTCTCACATCGTCTATGAAGCAAACGTCACCAGCCAGGATGAGCTCAGGACATACATCGGCTCAGCAGAGACAACGTTCAAAACAAGATACAACAACCACACGATGTCCTTCCGCCACGAAAAGTACCGCACTAACACGGAGCTCTCCAAACACCTCTGGAAAAAGAAAAAACGACGACAAAGAGTATCACCTGTCCTGGAGAATCAAGGACAAGGCCAGCTCCTACAACCCCGCAACGAAGAGATGTTGCCTTTGCACCACGGAGAAGGTGCGTATACTCACTGCTGACAAGACCAAAATCCTCAACAAGCGAAGTGAAATCATCGCCAAATGTCGTCATGCAAACAAATACCGGCTCGCTAAGTATAACGGAATCACGTAAAACCGGACATGGGCAGAGCAACCTGATGCCCAATGAAACCAGACACACTGCACCATTATTATTGTTATGATTAACGCCAAATATAGCACTGTAATGGCCTTACACCCCCTGACGCCAGGCATGCGCTAGTTAACTCCAGATTTACATGCTCCATTCAGCGCTTGTTACAGTAATGGACAATTGATATCAATATTTTACACTGCCTGCACCTAGCAGTAACTCTTCACTCTTCACACTTCACGCTTTCTTTTTGTGCGCCTTGCTGTGTGGTTGTGTATTTCTTTAGTGGACCTGACAGCCCTGTTTTAGTTAGAAAGGTTGCCTGACGATTGAAAAACTCAAGAAACTCGGAGTAGCAACGGATTGTGTTTTCTAGGTGAGGACCGCTTCCATTGTATATATATATATATATACACACAACAACAAGGTTGTCAATTTCATAATACTAAAAGCTTTTCACCCATTTTCATCAGTAGTTACATGGGAATGAGCAAGAACGAAAACGAAGCCAGAATTTATACTGGGGGTAGAGAATCAGCAAGAATATTCTTACACGCCTCAAGTTCACACTACACTACCATAAGAATGTATGGAGCGGTGGAAAAATGCAGGAAACAACACATGAAGGGAATGCAGTACCAGAACAAACACGTGATAAAGTTGTCAGTCCGGTTTCGGTTTCTAAGAGAATGTACAATACTGTCCTTCTGTGTGTGCTGAACGGTTACAACAAGTGGGCTGAGTATGTGTCTGGGCTCAATACTTACTGGACAGGAAATGTGGATACAGAACATAACGTATGAGAAATAGCAAAGAGTCGTATTGTCTATGGTGGCCCAGAAGTGCAGGCGTGGCCACAGAAAGCCGGCAGACATGCCGAAAGTAGTGCCAAGTCCGATACGACCGTTGCAGTACATAGATGGGGTTTGTGGAATGTGCATAAAATAGAAACGCAACGCTACGTTAGAGTCCTGGGTTGCATTTCTTAGGCCACAGCTGTAAGCGTGGCCCTGAAATTGTGTGTATTCCCTACTGTCATGATTCAACGCCCAATCGGCGTGTCCTTTTTTTGGTGTGAAACATGTCTTCATGTATATCCACAGACCGTGAGACAACTTACCTAAACAACTGGGCGGTGATGTAAATCCAGTAGGATTATGGCAGGTTCGATTGTATTGTTCATTGGTTAAAACATAGCCAGCATTACAAGTTACACTATATTCTGCTGCTGTCTCATCCTTGGTCAGTGACCCGACGGCCACTACTAATCCATCATCGATACTTGGCAGGGGGCAATGCGCTGATGCATAACAAACAATCACAGGAACAGTTTGTTTGGTGTTACACACACTCACATACACGTACACACAATACCATACACACAATACCATACACAATACTATACACATACACACACAACAAAAAAACACACATATACACACAAGCATCGCTTTCATAATATTGAGCAGAACTGCCCGTTTGACATACAGTGTAAAATAAATGCGACATGCGACGTAAAATATAATAAATACTCCAAACGGACCCGTACTCCAAAAGTCTTCCAAATTGGAAGGTTTTAAGACTAGTTATATGATACCATGGGAGGGGAAGGTGAGCGCATCCAAGACAAGCCAAGCCGAAAGTCTCTGCTGTGAAGGACGTTGGTGGATGTTCATCCATGTCGATGACGATACTGGCAAGACCATTGGACAATACGGTCAAAACACGGTTCCAGGAGGCAAAGCTACATTCCACACAACTTGTGTGGCTCATCATATATTTAAACTTAAAACCCTCCAAGTTGGAAGGCTGTTGGAGTGAGCATCCAAGATGTGCTAGAGCTGCTACCAGTTAGTTGTAGAACGTCGGTACCGTCGGTTAGTGTCGTGCAATGTTATCGCATGAGCTGATTGTTTAGTAACTGGTTTTTGTTAGTGGTCATCAAAGCGTAACTTGTACTTTTTCCTGGGTCCTTTCCCGTTTCTATTAATAAACCTTGGCTCGCCATCCGAGTCCATTCTTGATTTTATTATGTACAACTAAATGAATAATGTAAACGTGCTCATCAGCAGTCACAACGTAACACTAGAGATATGGTTAAAACATTTTCTTGTGGCAACCATGTGGAATCAATCACCACAATGGGGTATAGTTGATAAAAGAATCAGAACAGAAGTCAAGTCAGAGAGAAACAAGAAGTGCAACAAATACCACACTTGCTTTTGGTATATGTTGCACTTCCTACTTTTTTTTTGAAGTATTTCTCTCTGACTTGACTTGCAACTGTACCACGTTGTGGTGATTATTCCTGATGAATGCAACAAGGAAATGTTTAAGTCATATCTGGATTGCTACACCGTGACTGTTGATAAGTGCGTTCAAAATTTTCATTTAATTACTATGGTTTTCGTCACCTCGCTGATTATTTACTGTTCTATTCTAAATTGATTTATAGGTCCGTTTGGGCCTGGTTTTAATCTGGCTCTGGAGATTATATTTTTCATTGTTATCAGGTTCGGCTCGTTTTTTCTGTGCTACGCTGATGAGTCCACAAAGGAAGAAACATTCTGTCCGCAGATTAGGTATTGTACACCCGGTGTTGAAGTAGCTGAGCACTCTCATGTGGGGTTGTGCTTTTGACAATTATAAACGAGTTTATACACTTTGAGTGACAATTATAGTAAAATTAGTCAGGTAAAAAAGAGCACTAGTCACAGCCAACCAATAGCATAATGTAGCTAGTGAAAGGTAGTGACAAATGGATATGTAGATGTAGGAAATGTGTGGATGTGTGGATGGATACGGTGCGGTGAGTGCATGCTTTTTGAGGAGTGTGTGAGCAATTTCATTTTCCTTCTGCTTTCACAGAACAGAATAACGGATACGCAACTTCTAACACCTACAACTGCCTGAACCAATTTCCACGCCGAAAAACACTGAAACAGGAATCGTGAAACACCTCATAACACTAGGGATTTGACGCCAGGAGATCATGCGCAGCGGACTTTTCTTATCCACAGTGAACTTCTCTTCTTCAGCACTCTCATTCTCCTCGTCACTTTCCTCCACCTCATCGCTGTCCTCCTCGTCTAGCGATGTAATCTTTGACGAATGATTTTTCAATCGAAAGTGACTGATATGGTTTTACTCACTGCACTCTCTTCTGTGTGGCACCAGGGCCACGTTTAACGGTTGAGCCATAAGCCGGTCTCAAAACAGATTGAAGTCAACATGGCGTTTATACTTGGTGGGTGACATAGGAGGAGAGGCGTCGAAATCCATCATTGTTATGACCGAACAGTGGTCAGGGAATGGAGCAAGAGTACTGGTATGCGCGCAGTGGCGGATATACGTTGTCAGGATAAGGTCCCAAAGTGGATTAATGTTGTGAGATGGACGGGTTCCTTGGTTTAGGTTTACAAGCTCTAAACCTAAAGTGTTGAAGGTAGAGTTCAGAGCGCGGCCATCGCTGTCTGTTTTGTCATCTGCTTTCCATGCGGAGTGCTTAGCATTAAAGTCGCCAGTGAGAATGTGGTGTGTGCTGTCAAATAATTGCATCAGTGAGTTCAGGGTTGTGGTGACCATATCAATGGACTGTCGTGGTTGCCAGTAAAGTTAAACACAAGCAACCACTATCCAAAAAAGGCCTGGTCCCTTCCAAGAGAATACTTTTCCAACGTACTGGAGACAACAGATGTGTGCAAGCTGACGTACGTCGTGATGAGTTTCAGCTGTCGGCAATCAAGCGCTGTCTGTCAAGGCTACAGCCAGACAAAAACTGCTTGTTCCAGCGAGCGCTATCAAGTGAGATGGCAAATTCTGCCAAGTGCTGATTCATTAAATGCCTCTCTCGAACATTATTTTATCTGGTATGATGGAGCATTTGTCCGCAGATGCTAGTTTTTCCATGCTGTATACGAATCATTAGCGCCGAACTCGGGGATTGGTCCCTTACAGTAAACGAGACCAAGACCGAATTCTTGCATCTGACATCAACTTCAGACTCCTGGCGGTCCATCATTAGCGCCGAACTCGGGGATTGGTCCCTTACAGTAAACGAGACCAAGACCGAATTCTTGCATCTGACATCAACTTCAGACTCCTGGCGGTCCAGCAGGCAGCTAGGGTCCCTCATTGGCGACAGTGAGGACCTGGAGCGGAGGAAAGACCTCGCTTCGAGTGCATACGGCAGGATGTATAGCCTCTGGCTGAGGCGTGGGAAGGTCAGTGAGCAGAGGCGCATCCGCCTGTATAATGCCCTGGTTCTGCCCGTTCTTTTGTATAACTGCGGCGCATGGGGGCTCACGGCAGCACAAGCAGAATCGCTTAACGTTTTCCACCGGAAGCAGCTCCGACGGCTCATTGGCATAGTCTACCCAGCCAGGATATCAAATACTGAGCTGTATGAGAGGTGCAACACGGAACCACTATCTGACATCGTGGACAGGAGAAGATGGCAGCTAACAGGCCATATTCTCCGTATGGACAGGGATGCGCCGCCATGGATCGCGCTGACGGGCTATTTTGCGGGAGATGCCAAGGCTGGGCGTGGACGTCCAAGGACATCCATTGCGAAGCGCATCACAAGCGACTTACAGAGGAGGAACATCGACTTGAAGCGCAGCAGTCAGCTGGGGAATGTGAGGGCCATCGCTCTGGACAAGCCTACGTGGAGAAATCTGGCCGACAATCCATGATCTGGCGTCACAGGTCATCAGTGCGCCATGTTAATAATTATCTTGATAATGGAATTTGATCGTAGGAGATAGGACAGAAGCGGAACGTATAATTATACCCACATAATTATATTATTACGCGTGCTGTGGTATTATTATTATTATTATTATTTTTTCTTCAGACTTTTCCGTTTGTCTCTTTCCCTCAAACCAGTTAATATTATTATTATTATTATTATTATACGAATCACTGTGTCAGAGCAACATCTATTACCAAAAATTATGACGAAATGCAGAGTAGATGATAGGCGAATTTGTTTCGTTTCTGAGCTGTGTGTACTGGACTGTGTTGTTTTGCTTGTGGGGTGCAGTGGCAACGTGTCTTGGTCGGTTAGAGAGTGCGGGTATGGTATAGTGATTGTTGGAAAATCTGTAAAGGGCCAAATGCTGCTGCTTACCACATTAGGGCAATGGAGCAATGGACACAAAAAAAATGCAAACGTTAAGAATTACTGACCTGTTTGGACTACTTACCTACACATGATGGGGTGTTCTTAAACGGTCCATTGCCGACGAAGCACCGGCGCTCGTAGTCCGAATGAGATAATTCATAGCCGAAGTCGCACACAACTCTATACTCTGTGAATTTATTATTCAAGGATAGTGCTCTTCCATTTGCAATTCCATTTTGTATTTTTGGCAGCAGGCAAAGGGCTGAAGAAATAGAAAATAGCAAAAGTCTTAGTATATCTGAGCAACGTTTCTGACACATCCGTTATTCGTGGCGCTGTTATCCCTACTCCCCATAAAAAACTGCATCAACATCACGAAGTAGAAATCAAACCACATCAGCAGTAGCTAACTTCTCAGTAAGCCTTGGGAACAGATGCGATAAGCCCATTGGTAACTTAAAAGTTGCGACTTCGGCGGTAATAGTCATGATGTTGATTGTTCCAACAAGAAACACACACTTCTTGCCGAACATGCCACTTGACTGACTCACGACTGCCATCCAGAGCACACGAGGAGCACATCGCACCTTCCATTCGGCAAACCTGCAAGAAAGCACTACTCCCTGCTCAATACACAATGTTTCGGGGAATTCACCCCTCATCAGTTTAGCTTGAGTAGGCTGAGGAAGATTGTGCCTGAAGAGCACCACTTATATACATCTCTCGAGGCCAAATCATCACCAGGGATACAAACTTACAGAGACGCTTTGTTACCAGCGCGACAAACACCTCGTGAAGCCCCAGGTAGCAGCGTGAGTCAGAGTCGCTCATAAAGTTGTGGTAAACAGACGTTGAGAGCCAGCATAGCTATCCACAATGCTGTCACCTCCAACAACTAGTCGCACGTCCATGTGAGGGACAACAATACGAACTAAGAAGTTGTCAGTCAAGTGTCAAGTTCGGCAAGAAGCGTGTGTCCCTAGTTGGAACAATAAACTTCAAACCCATTGCTGATGTTATTATTCCCCAGTCACCGGACAATCACTTTTCTTAGGTGTAGGATTGCACAGCAAACGATCAGGGTTGGGTTTTTTCACACTGGCACCTTTGGGTCATATGCGAAAAGTTCCAATAAGGGAAAGGGATGCGCCGCAAAGATGTGTATGGACATATTTCCGCATCTGAGCCTTCCATGTTGGCAGGTTGCTCTTCGTAGATGTGCTGAAACTATGTGTAAAGTTGTCAAATGTCTCAATTTTCCTATCAATTTTGTGCCTTGTTGTCACACTATTCTGACTGTGTAATTATAATCTCGTTACCTTGGTGGACAGTTAGTCATAACTACAGTAGTAACTTGTAGCTACTTTTCTCTATTATTATAATAAAACAAAAGAGAAAGGTTGGAAGCTGTGTTGCAATTCCGAGTTTCATGTAGTCGCGATCATTAGGCAACTGGTAGCTCCAAAACAGGCAGCCTGAACATAATAGGGAGCAAGGTGAGAAATACTGAAGGGAATCATAGCGTACGGGTAAGGTGCAGGCGAGAAGGTGCTAAACCATTAGACTTGGTGCTATGCAACAGCAGCAGATCCGCAGCAGTAAGGCCCAATTCCTGCTCGGACGAGTTACATCGAATGCCATAACGGGATTGTCAAGTATGTGCACTACGAGATGTGTAGAGCACAGGGTCTGTATACAGGTGTATGACCATTCGACCACCAGTTCAAGGCATTGGTCAAACTTGATCAGACCTGGCTCTATTGGGAGTGTTCTATCCCAACTGACCTGACACTTTCAGCAAACAAGCCTGATCTACTTCTTGTTTATGACAAAGAACACTTAGCATACATAATTGACACAAGCGTCCCTGGTGAGAACAATATCAATAAGAAAATGGCTGAAAAGGGTTCAAAATATTATGACTTGAAGCGGCAGATTTCTCAAATTTGGTCCCTCACTCAGGGTGCCGTGATCCCTGTGGCTGTCGGCGCTCTGCAAGGCTTGTTGAGAGAGACTCCTTTATTGCATCTCGACTGTGCAGGGAGAAACATGGCTATTGTGCAACAGGAGGCTATCCAAGGTTCAGCTAAAATTCTGAGAACTGTCCTGAACATGTAGATGAACATCTGCTGCACTGTCCTGTTCTACAGCTAAGAGCCTTGAGTAATAATTTGACTTAAATCACAAGATAAAAGAGGGCCAAGGAGCTACAAGTAATGCTATAATATCCACTAAGACCACCATGAAGTTGGTTGTTCCCAACTAGGAACACACGCTTCTTGCCGAACTTGACACTTGACACATCTTGACACATCTTGACACATCTTCTATCGGCAACGAGGAAAGAAAGACCACCAGTTACTTTACAATCAGCTAAGGCGATAACATTGCACGACACTAACCAACTTTACTGACATTCTACGCCTAACTGGCAATCAGATGTACCACATCTCATATGCATACTCCAACAGCCTTCCAGCTTAGGTGGTCATAAATTACGGAAGTAACATAGGAGTGTGAGCTCAATCAAGGCAAGCACCAGCTGGAAGTCTTTTAGCTGTGAAGGAGGTTAGAGGGTGTTCATGTATGTCGAGTACGATACTGGCAAGACCATCAGACAAAACGGTCGAACCACAATTCAAGGACGTATAGCAACGTACCACACGACTTGTGTGGCTCTAAAAATTCAAAGATTGATTGAGATCACTGTTCACACTTTGCTCAAAGCGTACATTGAATCATTTAAAATATGGCAAAATGTACTAATCAATATGTTATAACGACGGGGAGATAACAAGATGAAAAAGACAATCCACCGGTTCTCTTTTGACTTGTTGTGAAACTACGCCAACTCCTATATCTTGAATGTGTTATGTTATGTTACCTTTATTTTACTTCACCATAGGTACAGGTATCGCTGCCTTCTTGCTGTGGATCATTAATGATGCCACAGCTCCTAGGCTATGATGAAAAATATAATAGTATGATAGATTAATATATGTAGAAGAGAAAAGGACATATGGATATGAGTCAAGAGTAACTCTCCATCACTGTAACATGATACTATATACAGTCAGAAAGTGCAATAACTAGGTACAAAACTGATAGAGTACTGAAACATTCGACGTCCTGACACCTAGCTTCAACACATCTCCGTAATATGTCCTTTTCCCTTCTACATTTATTTATGGCTCAACATCCGAGTTTCAAATAGATTAATATGATCAAATATGAACAGTATGGGAAGTAATAAGATGTCATGACTGTCAGCAGGACAATTATAAAAAAACCATGCAGCAGTGTATTTATGTGTGTTGTGGTTGTACATGTAGATAATATTGATGATGGACAGGGGACAGAACGTAATAGTGTGTCAATAGCTAATGGAGTGAAGTGAGATCAAGTGTGTAATCCATCTCCTTATACTTCAAGTACAAGGAGGAAAACCTGTACACAATAACGTGGAGCACCATTACACACGGGCAGGTACAAAGAAGGTTTTACAGAGTTCATCGCAACTCATAGTTTCTGGCGCAATGCAATCATCAAGTGACCTATGAAATATACAGTAGGTTGGTTGGTTGTGTTTATTTGAATTCGCAAACCGAACGGACTGAACATGTCTAATGACAAGGAAGCGAATGAAGTCCAAGTAATCCAGGAATGGGGACACAGATGAAAAGAAAATATGGGAACAGAAGGCTCTCAGCAAAGGAAGAAGAGAAAAGAAGGAAAGAAAAAGAATAAAGGAGAAAATGAAGAAAAACCGTGGTCACGGCGAGAAGAAAAATTTAGCAAAAAGAGAAAGGAAAGGATGAAGGAGAAAATGGGGAGACACATCGTGGTCACGCCCAAAGCCGGAGTAGCGGCAGGACACAGTAGACATAACAACAACAGGAACAAGCACGCATGAAGCATGGGCCATGCCGGCCCAGAAGCGGGAGACACCGACAGGAAGAGAG